AGCATTGTATATAGAGACGATGTACCTACATTGTAAGTAAAAAGAATTAATTTTTTAGTAAACTAAACTGCGACAAATCGCCCAGTACTCCTCTTTAATTAACGTGGAATGATATTTTATTATTTGAAATTTTTAGTATTAATTTAATTTTAGTGTTGTTTGTGCCATCTGTGTAGTATTTAAAAAAGTTCCCTCTATTAATCTATGGATCTATTGTTACAGAATTAAAGTTTTCTGTTTCTGAAAACTGATTTTTATATAATACTGTAATATTTGATAACAATAAATAGCATAAATCATATAAATAAGAATATTCTTGAAATATTTAAATGTGTTTTTATTTATTGTCGTCAATTATTTAAACAATGTTTCATAAAACACCAGCCAACACCACTATGCTTTTGACATTATTTTGATATGATTTTGATGACATTTCTGCAAATTCAAAAGATGTGTGTCTATTGTTATTGTTTTGCAAAATTGCAAATTTAAACGACTGTTGCAAAATGATTTGAACATTCTTGTGAGAAGCTCATATAGCTAAATGTACTAGATAATAAAGGTGTTAAATATAAAATTTTCCTGTGTATGTGAAAATGAAATTGATTATTTTATCTAGTTTTTGGTTAGTTTTGTATTCTTTCTGGTTTACCGGTTGTAAAGGGGGAAGTAAGAAATATAGAATTAATAAAATTTAAATATATAAATGTTTTTTTTTTTAGAATGGTATGGTAAATGGTTTCCATATCCTCCAGGTGCTGAAGTAACAAGTCCGGTTGACAAGAAACCCGGCTACAAGGGTAGAGTTCCAATGGGCATTAAAAATAGCAATTGTGATGATGGAAAGGTAAGTTGAGACTTAAAATTAAAATAGAGTATTGTTAATATTTTATTGCTTTTGTACTATCTAAAATTCATTGTCTAAGACTCCACAATTACATTGTTATTTCCAAATTCTTAATGGTCATTTAAATTTTTATTATACCTCTGGTATTGTTTATTGGTGTTGTTTGCTATTAGTTTTTTAACTTTTTTGGAGCATTAATTAAATTTCAATCCTTTGGTCTGACGTCAATATTTTCTAAAACATAGTTAAACTGGTGTGTATTAATACCAGTTCTACATAAGAAGCCATTAATTTGTTGCTTAAAAGTGGCAAATGCCTAACATGTTGTAGGTGGTGCTAATTAAATTATATTCGTGTTTGTGTAAAAAATTTTGTTAAACACAAAATATGTTAACTATAACTTTGTATGTATGACACAGGTATAGATTTCTTTTAATCAAATATAAAACCATTAGCAAAACTTATTTTTTTTTTAATTTCATAGCTTTTAAATATCTAGCTAATTATCGCTGGTAATAGAAAATTTATACGTTATACTATTGATAATCTCTTTTTTATTCTTTTACAGACAAATTTAACTGTAGATTGGGATAAATCAGCCGATTCATACCTATGTTTTTATGAAAATTTAAAGGACTACATGCCGGACTTGTATGTTCAACCTATCTTACAGTGTGATCACATTCCACGTGGTTACATGGTCAGTTCAAATAATGTATCATTGATAACAATTTTGTATTTTCTTATATGAATATGATTGTTTTAGCCTGAGCACTACTGCATGCACACTAGCATTGTATATAGAGACGATGTACCTACATTGTAAGTAAAAAGAATTAATTTTTTAGTAAACTAAACTGCGACAAATCGCCCAGTACTCCTCTTTAATTAACGTGGAATGCCTACACTTTCAATCTAATATCTGGTGCATTGTTTTGCAACCCACGCTGAATTTGAATTCCGAATTGTTATTAAGCACATATTTTTTTAACGTTAAGTCGTAAACATTTGGACAGATTCAATAATCAAACAAAATTTAGAAATATTGCGACATTGTTTGTTGCTTGCTCAACAACCCATTTTAGCCCTTTTTTTTCCCCGTTAAATAGTCATAAAAAATCCGACCAAATTCTTACTATTCAACTTACTATTTAACTTATATATATGTGTGTATTATATTTAGATGAATCTGAGCTCATTTTCACTTTTAAAGCGAACCGACTTTAATCCACATTATTTTATTTTAGTGGCGGCCATAGGCCTCTTTGGCCAAGGTATGGAGAATATCAATACCTACCACCCCAGCGATGGCTTCACAGTCTGGAACATGGAGCTATAGTAATGCTTTACCATCCGTGTGCTGACCCGCAAGAAATCAACAAGTTGAAGGGCATTGTGACAAATTGTCTTTACAGGCATATTATTACCCCGTATAATAAATTACAATCACAGCGGGTAAGTAATTTTTAAAACTAACAAATCCCTTTTTGCCCTTTAGAGTGTTTCAGTATTTCATTACCAAAATAATCAGTATAACTATGCTAATTAGTTTAGTATAAACATTCTAGTCAATCAGTATAAATACACCTACTGAAAGTTCCGTAGATAAATTAATTAATCAGTTAATTACTTACCGATTAGATTCAGTTATGTTGGATTAGTTAGTTATTGTTAGTACTTAGTTATACCATTTGCATTCAAATACTGACCTTATAAATTTAGATGTTTACCCTATATAATGTTTAAATTGTAATCAAAAGAGATAAATTCTTAACCAGTAAGACACAAGCATTTTTAAATAAATAATTGTTATGTTTTTATATATCCCTTTAAAGCTGTTGTGATTTTTTTCGGTAATATATAAAAAAAGAACTAGAATTTTATATTTATTTAAGTATTTTTGCATGTCCCTCATATATGTTCTCGTTTCATTTTTGCATACCCTCGTATATCAGTTGCTGGTTTCTTTGAATTCTGCGCCACCTATTGTCGAATAGCGAATATAATAGTTTTCAGTTGAGCAATGAGATGGCGCAGCAGTATTATTTTTACTAATTTTAAACCAAATACGAAAAATATACCGTCAAAATGCCATTTTAATGAATTTGTTATTAATCTGTTTTGATATATAATAAATATTTCATGCGGGTAGAGAAATGTGTAATTTTTACGCCAAATTAAGATTTTTTTCGACATACTGTGATATTCCCATGAAGGTAGAATGAAAACGATGAAAAATTTAACAAGGAATTGTTTAAATTGTTATAGCATACTTTATTAAAAACAGTACAACATTATTCGACCTTAATTCATTTTAATACGATGAGTTAAAGAAATTCTAATTTTTAGAAGTTACATTTAACAATTTAATAAGACACTAAAACTAATTTCGAGCAGAACTTCTAATTCTATTTGATTTTCATGTACTTAACAACTTGTCCGATTATCTTATACTATATTTTTTCCAGCCCTTCGCCCTGGTGACTTGGGGATGTAAATTGATGATGTCAAAGGTCGATCACAAGATTGCAAAGGAATTTATAATGACATCAGCACTTCAGGGTCCCGAGAAAGTTTCCACAGACGGTCAATTCGATTATGCTTTACTTAGGCATGCAAAAATATTGACCGATGAAAACGATTCAACGATCTGTCCTGAAATTTAATGTGAATTATTAGCAAAAACATTCCGTACTTTTTGATACAAAAGTATATTTTTGAAAAAAAGATAATATACCGCTTTTTGATAACATATACTATTATACATATGTAAAGGGTAGTGTTAAAAAAAAATATTTAAATATAATCTTGTTTGTTTCCTTGATCCTTTGAAATGAGTAGAAATTATTAAGAAATATTACAAATAAAGTGAATGTGGAATGATATTGAATATTTTTAGACATGAAAACTTCATTTTTACTAACATTTTAAGCTTAATACAAAAATAACTCATCTAATTGTGCACCGTTTTACTTTATTTTTATATGTACCGTTAATTTCTTGATCAGAAATAATGAAAACAATTAAAAGAACCCCTATTAATAGTTCAATGTTGCCTGTATAACAAGTTAATGTAATAAATTAATTTTGAGAAATGTATTTTCTGTTAAAACTTTCCGATTATCCCTTATATTGTACGTAAAAACTTATAGGATGTCCTTCGTATCTCACGTACCTAAGGCGACATCTTACGACCAATAGTCCAATATTATTAAATCTAGTTTACAGATTTCAATTGTATTACAGATTTAAAAATAAATTTCGATCTTAATTCATATATTTTATTTAAATAAAAAAATATCTAAAAAACACCGTACGTAATCATTTTTTGACAAAAATAAAGCAAGCCAAAGCTAGCTCTTATCATTTATTAATTAATTATCGATAATACATAGGTCTATTTGGACCGAAAAAAATGCAATAAAATTTTATAATTTGGCAAAAATAAAGAAAACGAAAGCGTATTTCGATCATTTATTGATTACTGTTTGATATTGGATGTAATTTATTGAAGAATTAAGCAAAATTATTCTGCCAAAGTTCGACTTTTGTTCCTATACGTGGGTATAGCTTGAACGAAAAAAGGTGAAAAACTCCATAAATAATAATTTTTTGGCAAAAATAAAGCAAGCGGGAGCTCTTTATATCATTTATTGTTTAATCTATATCATCAGTTATCATTTATCGATGAATTAAGCAAAAATATTTGGCAGAAGTTCGATTTCGGTTCCCAAAAACAATCGACAGGTAGCTATACATGGGTTATTTTTGGGAACTAAAATCGAACATTAGGACAAAATTTTTGCTAATTCACCAGTAAATGTTATCTGATATAGATAATTAATTAATAAATGATAACGACTAGCTGTGGCATGCTTTATTTTTGTAAAAAAATGGTTATTTATTCTGTTTTTACGTTTTTTTCGTCTAAAATCGACCCACGTATATGAACTAAAATCGAACGAATCGAGTTGAAAATTTTTGCGTAACTGCTCGATTCGTTCGATTTTAGTTCATATACGTGGGTCGATTTTAGACGAAAAAAACGTAAAAACAGAATAAATAACCATTTTTTTACAAAAATAAAGCATGCCACAGCTAGTTGTTATCGTTTATTAATTAATTATCTATATCAGATAACATTTACTGGTGAATTAAGCAAAAATTTTGTCCAAATGTTCGATTTTAGTTCCCAAAAAAAACCCATGTATAGCTACCTGTCGATCGTTTTTGGGAACCGAAAACGAACTTCTGCAAATTAGTTTTGCTGTATTCATCGATAAATGATAATTGATAATATAGATTAACCAATAAATGATACAAAGAGCTCCCGCTTGCTTTATTTTTGCCAAAAAAATATTATTTATGGTGTTTTTTACGTTTTTACGGTCAAAATCCACCCACGTATATGAACTAAAATCGAACTTTTGTTGAAAATTTTTGCTTAATTCATCAATAAATCACGTCTTATTTAATAAATGATCTAAATACGCTCTCGTTAGGTTTATTTTTGCAAAATAATAGAAATTTATTGCTCGAATTGCGTTTTTTTATATAAGATTTTACAATTCAACTTTAACTGAAAATTTTTGTTTAATTCTTCAATAAATTACTTCTTTATGAAAGATTATTCAATAAAAAAGCTAATAAAATTAAAATATGTTTATTAGTTAGACACTCATATATTTATTACACTAATTAAAACATATTTATTTCAGGTAATAGTATAATACATAATATATGTAACGTATTT